TGGGATGCCATTGATGCAAGATCGAAATATTTAGAACAGACATTTAAGCAAACATTTGAACAATATGCCAGCAAAGATGCTCAAGGAGCAGAAAGTAAGATTTAAGAAAAAACGAAATCAAAATTATACAATTTAATTCTTTTGCAGAAAGTAAAAATCGTGATATGTCTCAGACACCCAATCGTGTGCTGTTCTGTGAAGAGATCTGTGAGATAGCAGCATCACAATTACCAGACCTGTGGCGTCTGGGTCAGATGTATTTTACAGGTGAACTAAGAGGTCCCAATGATCCCAGACCAGGAGATTTCAAGGTAGGTCTTTTGTTTTAATAAAAACCAATCATTTTTATAACTTTAATATTTCTCTTATAGCGCATGATTTTAACGGCGATCGAAAAATTCTGTATATATCTAAAAGTGGCTATGTGTACCACAGATTCTGAGGCCCGTACTTTAAGGCAATCGGTAGGTCTTATATGGCCTATAAACCATGGTTCTCATGATGTTTTCAAATCTTGGCTACCGCAATGTTTACGTTATACTCGCATAACTTATGCCACCTTAATTAGTTTGGATTTACCTTCGTCTGCTTTGGATATAGTGCAAAAATTCATTGATGCCACACGTCTCCATTGTTTCTCTAATATATTCGAAAAGGCCACACAAAATTGCAATAAACTTACAGAATTAGAAACCTGGGAAATGGGAGTGGAAGATTTTCCCGGAGCTACTCTATTACCACAACGTTTGGAGGAATTATTAATTGAAACTCTAGAAGAGGCTCAACAATCCTGTATTAATCCGGAAATGAGGTATTTATAGTATGACCAACATAAATAGATTTTTTAATAATTTTGTGAAATTTATAGGGAAGGAAATCTTTTGGAATCAGAATCCGATGGTCAGCGTGAGGTGTCTTTGCGCTTACAGCAATTACTTTTATGTTTTTGTAATGTCATACAAGAATTAGCTTTTCATTCGCATAAAGAGGAAACACCAACCCACAATGTTTCTCAATTACTGGGCTATCCCAATAACCAATCCAGTGGCCCTGCTTCTGGTAGATTTACCAGTTTATCAGCTACTACAGCCATAACATGGGAGCAACGCATGTTATGCTGTTTGGCCAATTGTGCCTATTGCAATAAAAGTTTTTTCCACAAAGTGGGCAACCTATTTGAAAAGTAAGTTGAACTTGTAAATCTTCAAAAGTAAAAATAACTTAAATCCTTTTTTCAGATTCGGTTATCCTTTGCCCTCTTTAGCTATAGAAACGGCTCGTTATTCGGTTAACAAATTATTTTCCAACATCTTGGATGCCTATGTAGAGCATAAGGGTGATCCTTTGGTGGGTACAATTGAACCCTCCATGTATCTGGGTGCCTTTCAATGGGACATTGAAATGTCAATTGGCCAGTTAAGACCTTACGCCCATGAATGTTGTGATAATTTGGTGGGTGTTTATTCGGAAATTTTTACCATATCTCCAGCTTTATTAAGGCCCATTCTAGAGCCTATTGTATTGACTATATCCGAAGAGTTGGCACGTTTAATGAGTTGTGTGCCCCAGTTCAGTTATACCGGAGCCATACAAGCCAGTGTTGATATACGTTTGTTAAGGGATGCTTTAAAATTGTATACAAATGAGACGGGAAGGTAGGTCTTTGGTAGATTTTATTTATTTTGTTGGTTTGCTTAATTAGCTTTATTTCCAGAAACTATTTCCTAGAGGCCTTAGAAGCCATCAATCCTCCTTTGGATGTGGATCAACAAAAACATGCTGACGAAATATTGGAACGTGTTAAAGAACGCATGAAACTGCAATTAATGTGTTTTTCCGTAAAAGAACCTTAAGAAGTGACGTAAAATTATTTATTTATAAAAATATTATTGATGGTATTGCTTAAATATTGAAATTTTTAAATAAAATGCTTATTTATGAATAAATATTCGAGAAAATTAATAAATTTGCAAACTTTATTACATTCCAAACTTGATTATTCTTTTAATGTTTCTGAAAAATAAATTTTCGAAATTTTAAGTTTAAAATTAAAAAACTACTTTCGATCTCCGATATTGAAAAAAACAATCAACTTGGAATTTTGCGTTAAAATGTTTTTAATATTGAATTTTGAAATTGGACTCGTTGAAAATCTTTGCAAATCAACTTGTTTTTTCAATTTTCTATTGAAATTTAATATTTTAAAACCTGTTCGAAAACTTCCTATTGACCAGACTATAAACTAGACTATAGACTAGACTATAGACTGTACTATAGACTGTACTATAGACTATACTATAGACTATATTATAGACTAGACTACAGACTATATTATAGACTAGACTATAGACTGGACTATAGACTAGACTATAGACTAGACTATAGACTAGACTATAGACTAGACTATAGACTAGACTATAGACTTGACTATAGACTAGACTATAGACTTGACTATAGACTAGATTATAGACTGGACTACAGATTAGACTATAGACTAGAACATAGCCTAGAATGTAGACTAGACTATAGACTAGACTATAGACTAGACTATAGACTAGACTATACACTACACTATAGACTAGACTATAGACTTGACTATAGACTAGACTATAGACTATAGACTAGACTATAGACTAGACTATAGACTAGACTAGACTAGACTATAGACTAGACTAGACTAGACTATAGACTAGACTATAGACTAGACTATAGACTAGACTATAGACTAGACTATAGTATAGACTAGACTATAGACTAGACTATAGACTAGACTATAGACTAGACTATAGACTAGACTATAGACTAGACTATAGACTAGACTATAGACTAGACTATAGACTAGACTATAGACTAGACTATAGACTAGACTATAGACTATAGACTAGACTAGACTTGACTATAGACTAGATTATAGACTGGACAACAGATTAGACTATAGACTAGAACATAGCCTAGAATGTAGACTAGACTATAGACTAGACTATAGACTAGACTATAGACTAGACTATAGACTAGACTATACACTACACTATAGACTAGACTATAGACTAGACTATAGACTAGACTATAGACTTGACTATAGACTAGACTATAGACTAGACTATAGACTAGACTAAAGACTAGGCTATAGACTGACTATAGACTTGACTATAGACTAGACTATAGACTAGACTATAGACTAGACTATAGACTATGACTATAGACTAGACTATAGACTAGACTATAGACTAGACTATAGACTAGACTAGACTAGACTATAGACTACTATAGGACTAGACTATAGACTATAGACTAGACTATAGACTAGACTTAGACTAGACTATAGACTAGACTATAGACTAGACTATAGACTAGACTATAGACTAGACTATATACTAGACTATAGACTAGACTATAGACTAGACTATAGACTAGACTATAGACTAGACTATAGACTAGACTATAGACTAGACATAGACTAGACTATAGACTAGACTATAGACAGACTATAGACTAACTATAGACTAGACTATAGACTAGACTATAGACTAGACTATAGACTAGACTATAGACTAGACTATAGACTAGACTATATACTAGACTATAGACTAGACTATAGACTAACTATAGGAACTAGACTATAGACTAGACTATAGACTAGACTATAGACTAGACTATAGACTAGACTATAGACTAGACTATAGACTAGACGATAGACTAGACTATAGACTAGATATAGACTAGACTAGACTATGCTGACTATAGACTAGACTATAGACTAGACTATAGACTAGACTATAGACTAGACATAGACTATATAGACTAGACTATAGACTAGGACTAGAGGACTAGACTAGACTATAGACTAGACTATAGACTAGACTATAGACTAGACTATAGACTAGACTATAGACTAGACTACAGACTAGATTATAGACTAGACTATAGACTAGACTATAGAATAGACTATAGACTAGACTATAGACTAGACTATAGACTAGACTATAGACTAGACTATAGACTAGACTATAGACTAGACTATAGACTAGACTATAGACTAGACTATAGACTAGACTATAGACTAGACTATAGACTAGACTATAGACTAGACTATAGACTAGACTATAGACTAGACTATAGACTAGACTATAGACTAGACTATAGACTAGACTATAGACTAGACTATAGACTAGACTATAGACTAGACTATAGACTAGACTATAGACTAGACTATAGACTAGACTATAGACTAGACTATAGACTAGACCATAGACTAGACTATAGACTAGACTATAGACTAGACTATAGACTAGACTATAGACTAGACTATAGACTAGACTATAGACTAGACTATAGACTAGACTATAGACTAGACTATAGACTAGACTATAGACTAGACTATAGACTAGACTATAGACTAGACTAGACTAGACTATAGACTAGACTATAGACTAGACTATAGACTAGACTATAGACTAGACTATAGACTAGACTATAGACTAGACTATAGACTAGACTATAGACTAGACATATAGACCTAGACTATAGACTAGACTATAGACTAGACTATAGACTAGACTATAGACTAGACTATAGACTAGACTATAGACTAGACTATAGACTAGACTATAGACTAGACTATAGACTAGACTATAGACTAGACTATAGACTAGACTATAGACTAGACTATAGACTAGACTATAGACTAGACTATAGACTAGATACTAGACTAGACTATAGACTAGACTATAGACTAGACTATAGACTAGACTATAGACTAGACTATACTAGACGACTATAGACTAGACTATAGACTAGACTATAGACTAGAACTATAGACTAGACTATAGACTAGACTATAGACTAGACTATAGACTAGACTATAGACTAGACTATAGACTAGACTATAGACTAGACTATAGACTAGACTATAGACTAGACTATAGACTAGACTATAGACTAGACTATAGACTAGACTATAGACTAGACTATAGACTAGACTATAGACTAGACTATAGACTAGACTATAGACTAGACTATAGACTAGACTATAGACTAGACTATAGACTAGACTATAGACTAGACTATAGACTAGACTATAGACTAGACTATAGACTAGACTATAGACTAGACTATAGACTAGACTATAGACTAGACTATAGACTAGACTATAGACTGGGACTATAGACTAGACTATAGACTAGACTATAGACTAGACTATAGACTAGACTATAGACTAGATTATAGACTAGACTATAGGCTAGACTATAAACTATACTATAGACTAAGGTATAGATTAGATAGACTAGACTATAGACTAGACTATAGACTAGACTATAGACTAGACTATAGACTAGGCTATAGACTAGACTATAGACTAGACTATAGACTAGACTATAGACTAGACTATAGACTAGACTATAGACTAGACTATAGACTAGACTATAGACTAGACTATAGACTAGACTATAGACTAGACTATAGACTAGACTATAGACTAGACTATAGACTAGACTATAGACTAGACTATAGACTAGACTATAGACTAGACTATAGACTAGACTATAGACTAGACTATAGACTAGACTATAGACTAGACTATAGACTAGACTATAGACTAGACTATAGACTAGACTATAGACTAGACTATAGACTAGACTATAGACTAGACTATAGACTAGACTATAGACTAGACTATAGACTAGACTATAGACTAGACAATAGACTAGACTATAGACTAGATTATAGACTAGACTATAGGTTAGACTATAAACTATACTATAGACTAAGGTATAGATTAGATAGACTATAGACTAGACTATAGACTAGACTACATACTAGACTATAGACTAGACTACAGACTAGCCTATAAACTAGACTGTAGACGAGCCTTTAAACTACACTATAGACTGAAGTATAGACTAGACAATAGCTTAATGTATATACTATAGACTAGGCTATAGACAAGACTAGACAGTATACTAGACTATAGACTAGACTATAGACTAGACTATAGACTAGACTATAGACTAGACTATAGACTAGACTATAGACTAGACTATAGACTAGACTATAGACTAGACTATAGACTAGACTATAGACTAGACTATAGACTAGACTATAGACTAGACTATAGACTAGACTATAGACTAGACTATAGACTAGACTATAGACTAGACTATAGACTAGACTATAGACTAGACTATAGACTAGACTATAGACTAGACTATAGACTGGACTATAGACTAGACTATAGACTAGACTATAGACTAGACTATAGACTAAACTATAGACTAGACTATAGACTAGACTATAGACTAGACTATAGACTAGACTATAGACTAGACTATAGACTAGACTATAGACTAGACTATAGACTAGACTATAGACTAGACTATAGACTATAGACTAGACTATAGACTAGACTATAGACTAGACTATAGACTAGACTATAGACTAGACTATAGACTAGACTATAGACTAGACTATAGACTAGACTATAGACTAGACTATAGACTAGACTATAGACTAGACTATAGACTAGACTATAGACTAGAGACCAGACTATAGACTAGACTATAGACTAGACTATATACTAGACTATAAATTAGACTATAGACTAGACTATAGACTAGGTTATAGACTTGAATATCTTATTAACTAAACTACAATATAGACTAGCCTATAGAATAAACAGCAGACATGACTATAGATTAGACTATAGACTAGGCTATAGAATATACTATAAAGTAGACTATAGACTAGACTATAGACTATACAATAAATTAGACTAGGCTTTAGACTAGACTATAAGCTGGACTTTAGAATAGACTATAGATTATTATTAGACTTTTAGTAGACTTTTTTTTAGACTATAAGCATGAATAGATTAGTAACTAGACTAGACTATAGACTAAACTATAGACTTGACTAGATTATAAGCTCAATTGTTGACTACATTATAGTCTTGACTATAGTCTAGACTATAGACCAAACTATGGACTAGATTGTAGACCATAGATTATACTATATTATAGATTAGACTTGATCAATAGAATTTATATGTAATATTGTATTTTTAGTAAATAAATTATAAAACAATTAGAATTTTTATTAAATAAATCAGGCTTTATTTATTAATCTATCTTGGATAGATATATGAAACGTTACAAAGTTTCCATTAAAAGTTAAATAAGTGTTCCCACATACATAGTATTTCCATTTTTTAAAGTCAAAATTATATTTTAAAATCAAAGGACATTTTGCCATCAGCTTGGAATTTATCAATGTTATCCTTAATAGCCTGTTCCACATCGATGGTATTGAATTTTTCTTGTATACGCATTTTAATAGGATTCTCCAAAGCGTCCATAATTTGATAACGCAAAAGATTTGGTAGAACATTGACCACAAATTCCATAATATAATCCAAAGTACCGGCACCATCACAACGAACTTGTATATTACCCAAATCAATTTGTAAATCATTGATAACCGGCCTCTTGCGTGTATCTAAAGCTTGGCTAACACTAACAGTTATACGTATATGTTGAACAGTGAACTGAACATGTCCCACACGTGACACTAGACCACAGCCCACTTCCCATTGACCGGCACCAGCTATTTGTTGGGTGCCAACTTTAACATTAAGGGTAACGGTGTTATTTTCCATAGAAACCACAACATCACCCACACGATAAAACGAGGAAATACCATTAATCCAAGTGTTTGAAAGTTGCATGCTAAACACACCCACCGTACGATTGTAGTCGGGCATACGGTAGGGATCGTAACCCATTTCACGCACCTTTTTGCGACCCTCGGCAATGGCCATATCTAGAGGTGTTATGGAATTAGGCAACAATTTATCACCCATTAATTTGACAATATTATTATTGATTTCTTCGCGCAACTTCTTATCGGCCTCCTGCAGCATAAAAGGTTTCATGGCATCAAATACCAGATTGGGAGCAGAGTTTACTATACCCTGGAAAACAGTACCTAAGAATCCTAGATTTTGGAAATCCATTGACATGTCTTTGAAAGTTATATCCATTTTTATGCGTTCGGTGGTTAAATGACCATCACGTTGGACTTGCAGCGATGCTGTAGCCTTAACATAAACCTTCTTTAAGATGACAGTAAACGGTCCATTAGCTTTAGAGATAAAGGAGCTAAGAGTATACATGCCCTTGGTTACCATCGTATCCAGTTCAATGCCAGCTTCGACCTAGAAAAGGGGATTTGAAAAAATTAAATTTTTTAAATAATTTGAAAAATGAACATAATTTTATATTAAGACTAGGCCATACTATAGACTAGATTATAAACTAGATTATAAATTATAACTAGACTATAGACTAGACTATAGACTAGACTATAGACTAGACTATAGACTAGACTATAGACTAGACTATAGACTAGACTATAGACTAGACTATAGACTAGACTATAGACTAGACTATAGACTAGAATATAGACTAGACTATAGACTAGAATTTTTATAGACTAGATTATAAACTAGATTATAAATTATAACTAGACTATAGACTAGACTATAGACTAGACTATAGACTAGACTATAGACTAGACTATAGACTAGACTATAGACTAGACTATAGACTAGACTATAGACTAGACTATAGACTAGACTATAGACTAGACTATAGACTAGACTATAGACTAGACTATAGACTAGACTATAGACTAGACTATAGACTAGAATATAGACTAGACTAGACTAGACTAGACTAGACTAGACTATAGACTAGACTATAGACTAGATACTAGCTAGACTAGACTATAGACTAGACTATAGACTAGACTATAGACTAGACTATAGACTAGACTATAGACTAGACTATAGACTAGACTATAGACTAGACTTAGACTAGACTATAGACTAGACTATAGACTAGAATATAGACTAGACTATAGACTAGGACTATAGACTAGACTATAGACTAGACTATAGACTAGACTATAGACTAGACTATAGACTAGACTATAGACTAGACTATAGACTAGACTATAGACTAGACTATAGACTAGACTATAGACTAGACTATAGACTAGACTATAGACTAGACTATAGACTAGACTATAGACTAGACTATAGACTAGACTATAGACTAGACTATAGACTAGACTATAGGACTAGACTATAGGACTAGACTATAGACTAGACTATCGACTAGACTATAGACTAGACTATAGACTAGACTATAGACTAGACTATAGACTAGACTATAGACTAGACTATAGACTAGACTATGGACTAGACTATAGACTAGACTATAGACTAGACTATAGACTAGACTATAGACTAGACTATAGACTAGACTATAGACTAGACTATAGACTAGACTATAGACTAGACTATAGACTAGACTATAGACTAGACTATAGACTAGACTATAGACTAGACTATAGACTAGACTATAGACTAGACTATAGACTTGACTATAGACTAGACTATAGACTAGACTATAGACTAACTATAGACTAGACTATAGACTAACTATAGACTAGACTATACTAGACTATAGAACTAGACTATAACTAGACTATAGACTAGAACTAACTGACTATAGACTAGAGACTATAGACTATAGACTATAGACTAGACTATAGACTAGACTAACTATACTAGACTAGACTAGACTAGACTAGACTAGACTAGACTAACGACTAGACTAGACTATAGGACTAGACTAGACTAGACTATAGACTAGACTTAGACTAGACTAGACTAGACTAGACTAATAGACTAGGACTATAGATAGACTATAGAAACTATAGACTAGGACTATAGACTAGACTATAGACTAGACTAGACTACTAGACTAGACTAGCTAAGACTAGACTATAGACTAGACTATAGACTAGACTATAGACTAGACTATAGACTAGACTATAGACTAGACTATAGACTAGACTATAGACTTAGACTATAGACTAGACTATAGACTAGACTATAGACTAGACTATAGACTAGACTATAGACTAGACTATAGACTAGACTATTAGACTAGACTATAGACTAGACTATAGACTAGACTATAGACTAGGACTATAGACTAGACTATGACTAGACTATAGACTAGGACTATAGACTAGACTATAGACTAGACTATAGACTAGACTATAGACTAGACTATAGACTAGACTATAGACTAGACTATAGACTAGACTATAGACTAGACTATAGACTAGACTATAGACTAGACTATAGACTAGGACTATAGACTAGACTATAGACTAGACTATAGACTAGACTAGACTAGACTACTAGACTAGACTATAGACTAGACTATAGACTAGCTATAGACTAGACTATAGACTAGACTATAGACTAGACTATAGACTAGACTATAGACTAGACTATAGACTAGACTATAGACTAGACTATAGACTAGACTATAGACTAGACTATAGACTAGACTATAGACTAGACTATAGACTAGACTATAGACTAGACTATAGACTAGACTATAGACTAGACTATAGACTAGACTATAGACTAGACTATAGACTAGACTATAGACTAGACTATAGACTAGACTATAGACTAGACTATAGACTAGACTAGACTATAGACTAGACATAGACTAGACTATAGACTAGACTATAGACTAGACTATAGACTAGACTATAGACTAGACTATAGACTAGACTATGACTAGACTATAGACTAGACTATAGACTAGACTATAGACTAGACTATAGACTAGACTATAGAACTAGACTATAGACTAGACTATAGACTAGACTATAGACTAGACTATAGACTAGACTATAGACTAGACTATAGACTAGACTAGACTAACTATAGACTAGACTAGACTAGACTAGACTAGACTATAGACTAGACTAGACTATAGACTAGACTAGACTAGACTATAGACTAGACTATAGACTAGACTATAGACTAGACTATAGACTAGACTATAGACTTGACTATATACTAGACTATAGACTATAGACTAGACTATAGACTAGACTAGACAATACTATAGACTAGACTATAGACTAAACTTTGTACTAGACAACTATAAACTAGACTTTAGACTTAGCTTTATTAGGATAGACTTTACACTATATTTTAGAAGAGACTTCAGATCAGACTTTATACTGATTGAGCCCAAATTCTATAGACTGGTCTATAGACTAGATTGGACTATATAGACTAGACTATACATTCGACTTTTAGCTAGACTTTAGATTAGACTTTAAACTAGACTTAGATCAGACTTTAAACTAGACTTTAAACCAGACTTTGATTGAGACCAAATTCAATAGTTTAGACTATAGAGTAGACTATAGACTAGGCTATAGACTAGACATAGACTGGACTATAGACTAGACTATAGACTGGACTATAGACTAGACTATAGACTGGACTATAGACTAGACTATAGACTGGACTATAGACTAGACTATAGACTAGACTATAGACTGGACTATAGACTAGACTAGACTATAAACTGGACTAAAGACTGGACTATATAGATCAGACTCATTTTTTATTTCAAAGGGTTTTTTCGATTCTAATAACGATTAGGAGGCAGTTTTTCGTTTATGTACAATGTTATAGTTTTGAAAATATTCTAAATTTCTGGGCATTCAACAGATAAATGGATTTAGCTTTATATTTGTGTATTAAATATTTTTAACATTTATGTTTATATTTGTTATCACCAAATATTTGCGTAAAAAAAGTATTTTCAACTGAACCCCGATTTAGTATAATTTTCATGTAAACACATTTCCGTTTGACACTGATGATATTGAATCATCCCATTTTATACTTTTTTCTACCTACAGACATACCTTCATAGCTTTCAAATCGGCATTAATGCTGGCAATACGAAATTTCGATAAACCATAAGCCTTAACTTTCATCATTGTTAGGGTGGCCATGCCAAGACTTTTCTTCATATCTGGTACATCCATGGGATCAGGTATAGGAGCGCCAGGAAAACCTAGGGGGTCTTCTTGTTTGTAATGTTCCAAAACTGCATACAGCTGAGCAGCTAAACGATTTTCAGTGGCTTTAATATTATGATCATCAATGGAATTTGGACTGTCATAGTCAATGTCTATAATTTAGAAATGAAAAATATCAGTTTGTTATAGTTGAAAACAGATTTTGCTACTCTGCGTGGCTTACCAGTCTCCTCCTGGGCACGTACGTAAACATCAGATCCTATTAGAGCGGTGACACTTAAAATCAACCAAATTGTTTTTAAAACCATATTAGTTTTATACGTTTTTTTTTTTATAATTCTACGTAATAATTAATCACTTTCAGAGTTATCAGCGTTAGCGCGACTTTCGTTCATCCCCAAACACCACAAGCGTTCTTAAAGATAATCGATCTTCGACGACAGACACAATGAGGTTTATTTTGTTTTTCTTTTTTTATTACTTCTCTACTTTATTTATTTATAATGATTGAGTGACAAAAACTAACGCTTTCCTCAACAGTCGGTTGATAAATGAGGAACATGAGCTGTGTTAATTCCTTAGCTGGTGTCAATTTTGCGGCGAATTGCTGTTGAGTTAATATTTTCAATACAAAGTGTATGAACATAAGAAAGACTAGATTAATCTGATAATCATGGAAGAAACTAAACAATTCAAACAGAGTTCAAGATACAGTGGTCTTGAAAGCAAACACCAAATAAAATTGATTTTTCTCAAATATTTATTTTTATGTAAAATATTGTTTTTTTTTCGATTTTGTTTTGCTAAAAAGTATTTAAATTAACTTAAATTGTTTTTATTGTATACATCAATTATTACACTTCACTTTAAGGGTTAATTATTAAAATAATAATAATAAAAAACTAATATTAATTTAATAAATAGTTGTTTAAATCTTCAAATATATTTGTTTTTGAAAATAAAAACGTTTTTCTGTTTAAACTTAAAATTACTCAAACACAAATGCAACACTTATGAAATAAATATGTATAATTTTGAGGCTGGTGCTTAGTACATAATAAAATTATTATTATTATTTATTATTATAAAAAATATGCTGAAATTATAATAAAGCTAATACACAAAATAATAATAAACTCCTTAAAATGATTTAAATAAAAACAATATTTAAAAAAAATAAGGCAATTAGGTAAAATCTAAAATAAAATGTGATTGCGTTTGAAGCGTTTACTCTACTAGATTGCAATGGGAAAAAGAGTTTAGTTTAGTTTAGTTTAGAATAAATATTTATTTTTTCTTTGCCTTTAAGCGTAAGATAATTTCAAAATAAAATTACACTATCAGCCGTGGGGTTTCTTTAACTTTAAATCTATACTCGAAAATTAACTACAATACAATTTTTACTTGTATTTTTAATGTGTATTTTACAGATGTATGTGTGTGTACGTTACAAGGAGATAATAAAATCCTAAACTAAATTTTTAGTTAAAAATGGTTTTCCATTTTCTTGTTTGTTCTAAAATCACTAATAATAAGAGAGAGAGATTATTTTATTTGAATTTTTTTTTTTTTTGTTATTTTTTTCTTATATACATATTTGAGATTTTTTGCTAATGCTAAACTGTTTATTAAATTTTTTTGTTTTTTAATTATTTTTTGTAAAAAACTTACATATTGATTGGACCTTTTTGGTGGCAATATATAATAAATGATTTTGATTTGTTTGTTATTGAAATCATTAACTTTAACGCTAAATTATTGAAATTTTTTAATCATTTTAATCACTTATCTGTATTATCTCAATATTTGTTATTGTAACGATAGGTATCATAAAACTGTATGGTTGCGGGGCACTGTGTAACTCAATTAGAAATTTAGAATATTGTTATTGCGATGGCGTGAACATGATTTTTTTTATTGTTTAAGTTGTCTTTGACAATACTATAGATTAGGCTAGACTACTAGACTAGACTATAGGCTAGACTATAGACTAGACTATAGACTAGACTATAGACTAGACTATAGACTAGACTATAGACTAGACTATAGACTAGACTATAGGCTAGACTATAGACTAGACTATAGGCTAGACTATAGACTAGACTATCGGCTAGACTATAGGCTAGACTATAGACTAGACTATCGGCTAGACTATAGGCTAGACTATAGACTAGACTATAGACTAGACTATAGACTAGACTATAGACTAGACTATAGACTAGACTATAGACTAGACTATAGACCAGACTATAGACTAGACTATAGACCAGACTATAGACTAGACTATAGACTAGACTATAGACTAGACTATATACTAGACTATAGACTAGACTATAAACTAGACTATAGACTAGACTATAGACTAGACTATAGACTAGACTATATGACTAGACTATAGACTAGACTATAGACTAGACTATAGACTAGACTATAGACTAGACTATAGACTAGACTATAGACTAGACTATAGACTAGACTATAGACTAGACTATAGACTAGACTATAGACTAGACTATAGACTAGACTATAGACTAGACTATAGACTAGACTATAGACTAGACTATAGACTAGACTATAGACTAGACTATAGACTAGACTATAGACTAGACTATAGACTAGACTATAGACTAGACTATAGACTAGACTATAGACTAGACTAGACTATAGACTAGACTATAGACTAGACTATAGACTAGACTATAGACTAGACTATAGACTAGACTATAGACTAGACTATAGACTAGACTATAGACTAGACTATAGACTAGACTATAGACTAGACTATAGACTAGACTATAGACTAGACTATAGACTAGACTATAGACTAGACTATAGACTAGACTATAGACTAGACTATAGACTAGACTATAGACTAGACTAGACTATAGACTAGACTATAGACTAGACTATAGACTAGACTATAGACTAGACTATAGACTAGACCTATAGACTAGACTATACACTAGACTATAGACTAGACTATAGACAGACTATAGACTAGACTATAGACTAGACTATAGAACTAGACTAGACTATAGACTAGACTATAGACTAGACTATAGACTAGACTAGACTATAGACTAGACTATAGACTAGACTATAGAACTATAGACTAGACTATAGACTAGACTATAGACTAGACTATAGACAAGACTATAGACTAGACTATAGACAAGACTATAGACAAGACTATAGACTAGACTATAGACAAGACCTATAGACTAGACTATAAACGTACTTTATTGACATTGCTAGACTATAGACTAGACTATAGACTAGACTATAGACTAGACTATAAACTAGACTATAGACTAGACTATAGACTAGACTATAGACCACACTATAGACTATACTATAGACTAGACTATAGACTAGACTATAGACTAGACTGTAGACTAGACTATAGAATAGACTATGGACTAGACTATAGACTAGACTATAGACTAGACTATAGACTAGACTATAGACTAGACTATAGACTAGACTATAGACTAGACTATAGACTAGACTATAGACTAGACTATAGACTAGACTATAGACTAGACTGTAGACTAGACTGTAGACTAGACTATAGACTAGACTATAGACTAGACTATAGACTACACTATAGACTAGACTATAGACTAGACTATAGACTAGACTATAGACTAGACTATAGACTAGACTATAGACTAGACTATAGACTAGACTGTAGACTAGACTGTAGACTAGACTATGGACTAGACTATAGACTAGACTATAGACTAGACTATAGACTAGACTATAGACTAGACTATAGACTAGACTATAGACTAGACTATAGACTAGACTATAGACTAGACTATAGACTAGACTATAGACTAGACTATAGACTAGACTATAGACTAGACTATAGACTAGACTATAGACTAGACTATAGACTAGACTATAAACTAGACTATAGACTAGACTATAGACTAGACTATAGACCACACTATAGACTATACTATAGACTAGACTATAGACTAGACTGTAGACTAGACTATAGAATAGACTATGGACTAGACTATAGACTAGACTATAGACTAGACTATAGACTAGACTATAGACTAGACTATAGACTAGACTATAGACTAGACTATAGACTAGACTATAGACTAGACTATAGACTAGACTATAGACTAGACTGTAGACTAGACTGTAGACTAACTATAGACTAGACTATAGACTAGACTATAGACTACACTAGACTAGACTAGACTAGACTAGACTAGACTATAGACTAGACTGTAGACTAGACTGTAGACTGACTAGACTATAGACTAGACTATAGACTAGACCTGGACTACTATGACTAGACTATAGACGAGACTATAGGAGACTATAGACTAGACTATAGACTAGACTATAGACTAGACTATAGACTAGACTATAGACTAGACTATAGACTAGACTATAGACTAGACTATAGACTAGACTATAGACTAGACTATAGACTAGACTATAGACTAGACTATAGACTAGACTATAGACTAGACTATAGACTAGACTATAGACTAGACTATAGACTAGACTATAGACTAGACTATAGACTAGACTATAGACTAGACTATAGACTAGACTATAGACTAGACTATAGACTAGACTATAGACTAGACTATAGACTAGACTATAGACTAGACTATAGACTAGACTATAGACTAGACTATAGACTAGACTATAGACTAGACTATAGACTAGACTATAGACTAGACTATAGACTAGACTATAGACTAGACTATAGACTAGACTATAGACTAGACTATAGACTAGACTATAGACTAGACTATAGACTAGACTATAGACTAGACTATAGACTAGACTATAGACTAGACTATAGACTAGACTATAGACTAGACTATAGACTAGACTATAGACTACACTGTAGACTAGACTATAGACTAGACTGTAGACTAGACTATAGACTAGACTGTAGACTAGACTAGACTATAGACTAGACTATAGACTAGACTATAGACTAGACTATAGACTAGACTATAGACTAGACTATAGACTAGACTATAGACTAGACTATAGACTAGACTATAGACTACACTGTAGACTAGACTATAGACTAGACTATAGACTAGACTATAGACTAGACTATAGACTAGACTATAGACTAGACTATAGACTAGACTATAGACTACACTGTAGACTAGACTATAGACTAGACTGTAGACTAGACTATAGACTAGACTGTAGACTAGACTAGACTATAGACTAGACTATAGACTAGACTATAGACTATAGACTAGACTATAGACTAGACTATAGACTAGACTATAGACTAGACTATAGACTAGACTATAGACTAGACTATAGACTAGACTAGACTAGACTAGACTATAGACTAGACTATAGACTAGACTATAGACTAGACTATAGACTAGACTATAGACTAGACTATAGACTAGACTATAGACTAGACTATAGACTAGACTATAGACTAGACTATAGACTAGACTATAGACTAGACTATAGACTAGACTATAGACAAGACTATAGACAAGACTATAGACTAGACTATAGACTAGACTATAGACTAGACTATAGACTAGACTATAGACTAGAC